TGCATAATAGATACTTTAAATCAATAAAAAAAACATTACACACACTATCATGTATTTGACACACACACACACGCATACTCTTGTTTATTGTCAAACTTTTGTTATTGCTTAAAGTCTGTAGTCAAATTGAGAATAAGTTAATATTGTTTATCTTTCTTGGCGGAATCTGTCACTATAGAAATATAATAGTCATTGACAATAGAACCAGAATAATGTTCAAACTTATAATATCAATTAATTATAGTCGAATTTCGACTAATGCTGGACCATTAGTAATTTAATATTAGCGTATCATCGCTTAGTTACAAATAAATACAACGTAAGTAAATTTTTCTTATTTCTCAGTAGGACAATAATATTAAATAGCTTTGCAAGATTTGTTAAACATTAAAATATGAGTCATCTTCATTGACAGCGTATCGTATACCTTAAAGAAGGTATATTACATTTTGATGAAAACTAAGATAATTTGACTTGCGCGGAATTGTTAATTAAACGACTTTTAGTGGAATAACTATTATACTTGCCACTGTCTAGACTAGTTCATATTTTTTATGGGCCGTAGACTAGTGTATATCTAATTCGAAAATAGTAAGGTAGAACAAATGCCTCCTCCCCAGTCATACGAGGCCTGCAGCCCCTTGCTCCAGCCGAGCTTAAATTCGATTACATTACCTGTGTAACTGAAGAAACACAATACTTGTGAAATATCTATTGTAAGGTTTGTTGTAAAATACTTCATATAAAATTGATCATGTTAAAATTTAGACAATTTTCGGATTGCCAAATAGCAACACTGTTGGTGGGACCAATAGTAGGGACGTGACATAATAAAAAAGGCGTTAGTCTGAAAAAACGAGAGAAAAAGCAGTATCTTCTGTAGTGAGCAGATAGGTAAAGATTGTACAAGTGGAGTTATAAATAAAGCAATACAGAATTAAGTGAACTATTGCAATCTGTGCACATATTATTGCTTAGGTTAGTGGATGAGCTCACGGCCCACCTGATGTTAAGTGGCTACCGGAGCCCATAGACACCTAGGCCGTAAATGCCGCCACCTACTTTGAGACATAAGTTCTAAGGTCTCAGTTTTTACAGTACAACGGCTGCCCCACCTTTCAAACCGAAACGCATTATTGCTTCACGATAGAAATAGGCCGGACGGTGGTATATACCCGTGCGGAATCACAAGAGGTCCTACAACCATTAAAAAAATTATTAGCGTATAAAGGGGATTGCCCACTCTCCATAGTGTGCCAGGCCCAAGATGGACATCAAATATTACTATAAAAATGTACTGATTCAAATTCTTAAATGTATTGGATATCTAAAAAATATATTGAAATTGACGCCACTATTATAAAAAATATAATAAAAATAAAAACTCGTTTTGAGGTTAATTTTCTATATAAATAAGTGTCGGATTGTGAGATACTTCAAGAACTTTTCTTTTCTTANTCATATTTTTTATGGGCCGTAGACTAGTGTATATCTAATTCGAAAATAGTAAGGTAGAACAAATGCCTCCTCCCCAGTCATACGAGGCCTGCAGCCCCTTGCTTCAGCCGAGCTTAAATTCAAATATATACAACGTAAGTAAATTTTTCTTATTTCTCAGTAGGACAATAATATTAAATAGCTTTGCATGATTTGTTAAACATTAAAATGTGAGTCATCTTCATTGACACCGTATCGTATACCTTAAAGAAGGTATATTATATTTTGATGAAAACTAAGATAATTTGACTTGCGCGGAATTGTTAATTAAACGACTTTTAGTGGAATAACTATTATACTTGCCATTGTCTAGACTAGTTCATATTTTATGGGCCCTATACTAGTGTTTATCTAATTCGAAGATAGTAAGGTAGTAGAACAAATGCCTCCTCCCCAGTCATACGAGGCCTGCAGCCCCTTGCTTCAGCCGAGCTTAAATTCGATTACATTACGTGTGTAACTGATGAAACAAAATACTTGTGAAATATCTATTGTAAGGTTTGTTGTAAAATACTTAATATAAAATTGATCATGTTAAAATTTAGACAATTTTCGGATTGCCAAATAGCACGACTGTTGGTGGGAGCAATAGCTGTAGTGGGGACGTGACATAATAAAGAAGGCGGTAGTCTGAAAAAAACAAGAGAAAAGCAGTGTATTCTGTAGTGAGCAGATAGGTAAAGATTGTACAAGTGGTGTTATAAATAAAGCAATACAGAATTAAGTGAACTATTGCAATCTGTGTACATATTATTGCTTAGGTTAGTGGATGAGCTCACGGCCCACCTGATGTTAAGTGGCTACCGGAGCCCATAGACACCTAGGCCGTAAATGCCACCACATACCTTGAGACATAAGTTCTAAGGTCTCAGTTTTTACAGTACAACGGCTGCCCCACCTTTCAAACCGAAACGCATTATTGCTTCACGATAGAAATAGGCCGGACGGTGGTACCTACCCGTGCGGACTCACAAGTGGTCCTACAACCATTTAAAAAATTATTAGCGTATAAATTTATTAATTATAGTTTATTAGCGTTTTTAACATTTTTGTATTAGAAATCAATTCTGTCAACACATCTCTTGCTTTTCTTTGTCATTACTTTGTCGGTAACGAAATTTATGGATATAAAATACGTAACTTTTTGGAACTTGAGTAATAAGTATTGTAACTACTATATTATTTTATTCCGCACCGATTATTTGCATTATTATTGTGTGTATACATACTACGTGTAAACAGAACACGGACTTATATCCTCGCTAGCCAATGAAAAAACCAGCCTTGTTGCAGCGTTTGTATCGATTAAACTAAAACTTTGCAGACAATTTTGTATTGGGACGGTCATGCCGAAGTTAGGAACTGAAAAATAAAACAAATCTCATACTTTGAGAATATACGACCGAAAATGAGAGGGGTTTCGTATCTATCCGGATATTAATGAGAAGATAATGACCACACTCACTTCGACCGCTTACTATTATTTTTAGTTAATATATTATTCGCTTGTAGCGGTATCCTCAGATTATTCTCCTCTACCCACCTCTAACTTCTACATAGAGTATTGCTTGTAAGCGAGCTGTGAATCGAATTCAGTCATACAATCCTGCGTGTTTCGATCGCGACGCAGTCGTTTCGCTTTGAAAGCTAGAATTATTTTAAATCTGTGCAAATAAATAAAACTAGTAGCTGATTGTGATTTCGAAATAATAGTAATCAGAATATTGATACATTTTTCAAGAATACGTTAGAATAAAAATATTTGTTTGTAAGGGGATCCGGCCTAATCTCCGAAATGACTGAAATGACTCGAACTACACAGCATATCAATAAATTATACGTGAATATTAAAGAGTTGCTTAAACTTTATTATTGTAAAATATATGAGCCACGCTCCTGCGTGAATACGCAGAAAGTTCTCGACGAAATAATAAATGGAAAAATAATTCTGAGAAAATGAGTGCAATTTAGTGATTACGTGTTAGTCAAAAAATTTTAACTTAAATAATCCTTGAATAAAAAAACCCTAAATTTAGACATTTAATTTGTTCCATCGATCATTGAACATGTAAATAATGGCCAATTACGGTTCCCTCCTAGCTGGTGGAATTAATTGAAGAGCTTGCAAATTGCACTGCTTGTCGTTATGTGACGAAGGGGAGGAAATAAGAGGTAATAATTTTGGAGGTCGAAGTATTGATGGCCGGTTTTATCGATATAGTACTTAATATTACTATTGCAATTTAGTTTAGGCTTGTCGGTTGTTTAATTTTGATTTGATACAGGCTGTCTGTTGATATCTTTTTCGTAAGTGACAAGCAAATAAAATTTTGACTCCAAAAGAAGGATAACAAAACTTAAAGTGAACTTCGAAGAGGTTTATTCATTTGTAAATTAGTTATGAAATCTGACATCCTTTTTCTCGTAATGTAAATAAATTTGTTGAAATTGCACGTGTACTGTAATGCATGTTATATTGATAATGGTATAAAAAAATACTTTCCTGGATACGTCAATTGGAACTGTGGCAAGTTTTAACTCACTGAAAAGACAGATTACATCTCGGTGAGTAGATACTGATTTTTATTCGCATGATTTACGTTAGGGTCATAGCCGATTCACTGCCTTATAACTCATACCTTAACCTCGTTTGAAGGAAGTCATGTCATAGTGCTCGGGAAACATCTTGAAATGAAAGTTAATTCCAGAGTTGGATGGCACATGGAAAAGAGAGTTGTCTGGAAATTGACTGCTGATGAGCATATAAACGCATAGAATACGTACAAACAAACCAGTAAATAAAGCCGTAAATATTTTCTTTTGTAAATAAGAAACAGTAGGAGTGAATAAAAAAGTGCACTTTCATAAATACGTTAATTAAATTAATGCGAAATCTACTTGATAGATAATAAATTAAACCATTACGTTACGATTCTAGAGAAACAAAAAAATCGATTTTCAAGTCACGGATTCGTAAGTATTAAGTCGCATGGTCGTAGGCTACTTGAAATCTCGGTAACTAGTTTTCTTATAATGAGGTCGTAATAACATAACATCTCGCTTCGGCTCTCTGAAAACAATTTAACACCTCATGTAAGGTCCTATTGTTGACGTGCCATTATATAACTAGTAAAACTAGGCTAATGGCTGGTAAAAACATAATGGCTATCATATAACACGGGAAAGTTCGACAAAAGTGCGCCTTGTCAGATATGATTTATTAGCTGATCAACTTCTGCTGTCTCATCTATATGATTAGACCGATCGAACTCCAGATACACGGTAGACGAGTATATCTATCATAAGAATCTAAGATGTATTAGATTTTGTTTCAAAACTATATTCAGCTAGCTGCTTTAGGCTTTTGAGTCTATGTGCGTATTTAATTTAGGTTGATAATCAATATCATCGAAACGTCAGCTGTTATCGATAAGGACACGGTCTTGATAACACGAATAGTGTTGTTATTTGTATAATTAGGGAACGTGGTTGTCAAAGCTCACCCTCTTTGGAAGAGATCGACATTGTAGAACTTGTATAGCTCAACGGAGAACTCGAATGTGGCCTGCAGGTCGCTCATCGTGCGAGTTTAGCTAAGCGAAGGGAGCGGGCGCGGGCGGTGCGACGCGCCATATCGCGGCCGCTAACAGCGCCCCGAGCGCATCAACCGGCCGCCGCACGTGTCTCGCCCGCCACCACTCGCACTGCACTCGTAACGCACCGCGCTGCACCGCACTGCGACCACACCCGGCACTTTAATCACGGCGCGATCCTCGGGCGCGGTCCCGGTCTCACCGCGCAAAAATAGCGAGAGGAACGCGGCGGCGGCGACGAACGTGCGGCTCTCAGTGCGGGAACCAGGAATTCATTTTTTAATAGCGGGCGGCACGCATGCGCAGTCCGTGGAGCGACGTCGCGCCGCCGGCCTGCAGCAGTGCGCGCCCCGCTTCGCTCACCTAGACAGGTGCGCTCGCAATAAAGCTCTAATCCTTGCCATTCTGGGCTCGAGCCGAGCGGGGCGACTCCTCGATGTTATGAGAACGTTTCAAAGAGGTGTCGTCGAGTAGTAATGCGGCGTGATTACACTCTCCCGCGGGAGACGTCTGCAAAGGTCAGGGGAGGGGCGCGTATGCCGACCCTTGTGCCGCTGCCGACGTCGCCCTCACAGACGTAACCTTTCTAGTAGCTCCCTTGCCTTTCTAGTATAATATACCGGTCATGGCATTTTATGGGTAATGCTTGGAAGGCATAGGCCGACTTTTATGCATTTCTTTGGCATTAAGGTTCATTACGGCGCGTTAGCTCCTAATTTTAATTGATATACCTTTTATTATATCTTGTCATTATTAAACTAAAGCTAAAAATGAAATATGTATGTATACTACGTTATCAAAAATCTGTGTGTTGCAATGAAATACCAATTAAAAAAAAATTGTGTCTTTGTAAATTTCATTTAAGTATCACGTAAAAATCTATTTTGATAAAGCTTTTCGTGTATATGAAGCTGATATAGTGACTAGGTTTTCGCTTGCAGCTATGCCCGCATGGCCCATACTTCATATGATGGTCAGTAGTGGGATGTACGGTAGCCTTAATTATTTCCATACTCAGTCCAATTTATTTTGTAAAATATTCGTATGGATTATAACAAAACATTGGTACAGTTTATCACGTGTACAATCAAAGTACCGCCAATCAAAGATCATCAACCAAACCACGTGAAGCTTTCTTATAAATTAAAAAAATCATCAGTTAATATTTATTTCTTCTAAAATTGAATTGCTTCTAGCATTTTTAGGGATTTTTTTAAAAATACGACGACTTGTGAAATATAGCTGTTTAAATTCAGAATGTTTTATTTTCTATAGTCTGCTTTATTGAATTCATAGCGCAAGGCAAACTCCATTAGATTATCAGTGGGCGGTTACTAAACAAAATGAAACCCGACGGCTTCATTTATCTGGAAATTGCAAATCTAAAATCCAAGAGCGTCTTGACATTTTCATCGTGAAATTTCTTAGGACATTATCGTCTAGCTACAAATCGGGCAGGCAGCGGGAGAAATGGAAATTTAATTGCAGGTTTGCCGGTAAAGGTCACAGTTCAAGTTTAGGTTGGTCGATAAATGTGGGTTGAAGCGCCTCGAGGTTTTCAGGAATAGTGGCACAGCTTAACGCGGATCACGGCTCTGCAAGGGATCCTTTCAATAACTTTGATTGCCTGTCTTTATTCTGGACCTTTTTCGGGACTCTTTCGACTTTGCGCCGATCCAACGATCGGCGTATTACCTTATTATTAAAAATTTCTTTACAGATCATAGGGGTTCTTGCGTTAATAATTCGATATGTTTTTGGCACTATGCGCGTATTAGAATATTTTATTGCAAAAATAATTGGTGAAAAAAAAATCTTGCTATGATATCCTACTTATTTACTGGTGGTAGGAGGTCTTGTGAGTCGACTGGGTCATCTGTGACCACGGACACTGTAAAGTATTTGAAACGTCGGAATTAATATATTTAATAATAAAAAAAGGTGTGTGGTGTCGTGGGACACCGGATGGGACCGAAGTTCCTTATTACAAAAATATTAATTTAAATTTCTAATCGAGGTATAAAGAAAATAAAACTGGAGGTTTCGCAACAACCCACGGTCATTCGGTAACGTGCAAAGTTATTGTGGTACATACACATCATTCACGGTTGTTTGTATAAGAGTTAGTGTATTGCGCAAACGAACGCTCTGAGATCGTGGTCAATGAATGATAAAAAAATATGTTATTTTTTGTACGTTATTACAAAGTTAAGTCGTACACTGTGTGCATTACTAATTTGTACGTTATTACAAAGTTAAGTCGTACACCGTGTGCATTACTAATAAAAATCTTACGTTACGGACGTATTTTCCTGGTTAGGGTACCCCTCCGCATCGTCCCATAAGGAACTTCGTTCCAAAAAAAAACTGGTTTAACCGTAAAAGTATTTTCAATTGAATTTTTTATTTTTACGCTCTGGAACTGGTGTATCATCGAATAAATAAGTTCAAGCTATTCCGAAATTGAGTTAGGTGCATATGCGCGTCAAATGAATTGCATTCATAGAATTGGATATTTAAAGTCCACTAAGCTTGTTTTGATGCGTTTCACGTTGTGTTGACGAGTGCTAAAATGTAAGGAAGTTCTGTATTCTGTGAAATAGTATTTATGGGATGGTGAACATTGACAAAAACAAAAGAATATAATTCTGAATATTTTTTAGAATCACATCTACCACCTGCGGAAGCTTCAGTAATACAAAGTAGTATAAAGAAACCGATTATTCCTAATTTTTGTTACAGCTATTTTATATTTTGTGATAACATCAATGGAATGCGAAATGGTCCGGTGTTTTTTATAATGTTACACATTGCATGCAATGGTAAAACAAAAAACTTATTTTAAATTTTACGAAATTTAATTATAAGCGTGTTTTTTTATTGTGTTGGTGGACGAGCTCACGGCCCACTTGATGTTAAATGGTTACCGGAGCCCATAGACATCTACAACGTAAATGCCGCCACCCACCTTGAATTATGAGTTCTAATGTCTCAGTATAGTACAACGGCTGCCCCACCCTCCAAACCGAAACGCATTACTTGCTTCACGGCAGAGAAATTGCATTATCACACACTATCACACTAAGACTAAGAATGTGTCTTAGTGTTAGTAAGATCTTAAATTGAGTCTTAGCCACCCATATTGAAACATGTGGTCAAATTATCAATTTAATTTTACAACTGCTGTCCCAACCTTCAAACCCAAATATATGCCTGGAACACGACAGTAATAGAGAGGGTAGTTGTAATTATCTTTACAGTAATTATGTTAGACTTATGGTGGGAACGCGAAGAGTGAAGTTGTGTGATTTGTTTTATTTTGTCTATTTAGTGTTTCTTCAGGTTTAAATGTGTAATAACGGTGCTTTACTAACTGTTTAATATCTGTGAAAGTGCACAAGTGTGGGAAAATGAAACAATGCCGCTGGACGTAACTTCTCGGGATCCTCCAAAAATCTCAGTAAATGACCACCATTTTACTAAGATTATATTTCATCCCATATCATCTCATCTCATTTCATTTAATTTCATCCCAGTTGATTAATGTCTCAAATTAATCATCTTCATTCATTCATACTCCATATTAGCATTTTTCATAAAAATAAGAATATAAATTAAAATAAGACATGACCTATAAGGTCTTAGTTACCAGGTCACAAAATCCCTTAAAAAGTAATTATGTTACGTATAATTTTATTGCTACCTCAATGGACTATATAAACGCACGCTGTAACTGATACTATAATAGAAAACACAGTTCCTTAAATCGAATACGTCCTTTTTCTATCCAAACACGAATGAATGATAGCGTGTATAAATATAGGACGGTTATTGTAGTAGGCGAACAATAGTTTGTACCACTCAGCATATTGCTCGGTTGTCGCTAAAGAAAACGCTCGTGTTTCTGTTGGGGGCTGTCTCGGATGCGATATGTTCGTAAACGTAAATATATTGTTGTATTTGAGGTAAACAAACGCTTCCTGAGCTTTTTTTAAGGGATTTTATGACCTGGTAACTAAGACCTTCAAGTCAAGTCTTATTTTAATTTATATTCTTATTTTTATGAACAAATTTAATACGGAGTGAAATGAAATGAAGATGATTAATCTGAGACATTAATCAACTGAGATGAAATTAAATGAAATGAGATGACATGATATGGGATGAAATATAATCTCAGTAAAATGGTGGTTATGGTGGTGGTACATACAACTGAGACTTTTTCACTGGGCTTTTGGAAGATCCCGAGAAGCTACGTCCATCGGCTTTGCTTCATTTTCCCATATTTGTGCACTTTCACAGATATTAAACAGTTAATAAACCGTTATTACACATTTAATCCTGAAGACTAAATAGACAAAATAAAACAAATCACACAACTTCACTCCTCGCCTTCCCGCCAAAAAGTTAAGGCTTCCCGAAAATAAAGATAGGTGTTGCCAGTGATTAAAAACTAAAAACAAAGATTGAGTTCTATTACTTGGAAAAAACATTTGCCAAGCAATTGATTATATTAATGGGATGTGTTTTAAGCTCGCACGGGTAGGTATCATAATTTATATATTCGTATTATATCTGAAGCATATAATACGTCATGCGTTCCGACTTTGAATTTGAAACTTCGTACTTATGTTTCAATATGATTGAGGGCATTCACGTCGTGTTGTTTATGGTAGATAAAAGCAACATTGAAATACGAAAAAAAAAAAAATGTGTGTGTGTCCGCTCCGACGCACGACTGGAGTTTACTGGATATAAATATAAATTTGTGTCAGTTGAATACAGTAAAATATGGAAGTTACGTATTCTAGTGAGAATGATCCGGGAGTTGCGGAACACGTGGATGCGGTAATTAAGTAAGTCTATATAATTCACTTTTACAATTAATATATAAGTTGTCCATTCACTGATAGAAGGAATTGTTTATATTTAATAAGCTTTATTAATAAATGATTTGTAGCGGGTTATATTCGGGTATCAACCCACTAACAGTTGATACGTTCAGGAATCGAACCCGAACGGCGTCCGGCCACAAGCAAAACGATGTCGGTAAATTAAACGAAACAATACGAGAAATAGTTCTATATTACGACAACACGATACACTACAGATTATTAACAAATTAACGAGACACAAAACAAACGACTAACAAATATATGAAAATACAATAATGAGAGAAACGCGCGATCAGTACGAGGCTTTGTGGCGGACTGCCGGCGCAGCAGCCCGGCGT